ACTTACTTACTTACTTACTTACTTACTTACTTACTTACTTACTTACTTACTTACTTACTTACTTATTTTATTTTATTTTGTTTATCCATTTACCATGTCTCATTGAATTAATAAGTCTAGTCAAAATCCAAATGTAAGTGTGGTGTAGCCAATTTTATGTTAATATGGCCTGACATATAGCCCCAGTCTAATGCCACAATTAATTGTGATACATTTTCGCCCAACCTTACTCTGCCACTTCAGATTTCCTCATACAACACTCCCAGATCTCCACAGTCATGGTCAGCTCATCATTTTCAGCAAAACTCTTACATTCTTTGTGTTAAACCATAGTAAAACTCCCATTGCACAATTATGTATAATTTCCGGTTTTATTCGGGAAATAGTGTACCTGAATATTATAGCTACAAACTCCAGTTTATTGAAAGTATGACATATTATTTTGTTGTTGTTTTTATATATAGATGGGAAATTAAAAAAATAAAATAAAATAAAATAAAATAAAAGCATTAATATTCTTTTCTTTAGCACGTGGGTTCATGATGGCGTTGACGCGTCAGCTCTCTACGCATGCGCACTCCAACGAAGCAGATTTTCAACAGCTGAGGAGGCGTAGCTGTAGCCTGTGCTAGCACTTGTCAAAGGTAAGGGGTAGAATTTCTGGTRTATAAGTCGGTGTACGCTATTTATAGAGGCAGAGTTCTGATTGTTCGTGTAGGATTCATATGATTATCACAGTCCATGCGTAGATAATTTTACTCTAAACATGAGAAATATCCCCAGGAAGCGATGGAACGCCCTGTTAGCTATTAGCGTATGTTAGCCAGCTGCGCTCAAATGGGCGTTCTCTGCTTAGCTGAGATCGTGGGTTTATGTTATTGATTTTATCTGGTTTGACATCATTGCAAAAGCTGTTAGCAGTGCTTTTTGCTCGTCGATGAGTTGGTAATTGTGTGGTAATAGATACGCAACGAGGAGCGTTAATGTTGCGGTCGATTATGTACACCGAGTCTGTGATGAAACTACAGCTTCCCAAAATACCCGGTACTCTTCTGTTCTCTTCTTGAAATTAGGCTTCATAATTCACAGTAGACTTAATAGTTTTTTTAACGTGTGCTAATGTTCTGTGGCAGAGCTAAGCAATGCTGGTTGCACGTGATTTAGGGTTTCGGTAGGTAGTATCGATAACAGGACAAAACGTGCTAATCGTGAAACCTAAACTTGCGCACTTTAACCCCCAATCATTCTGTTTCAGTTATAWAATACATGTCCAGTCCAGTGCAACGTTTTGATGAGCATCCCACTCAAAATGCATATTTATAAGCCTTCCTAGTTATTCATTCAACACATTATAATCAGTCTGATTTGTTGTTATAGATTTCCTTCTTTTTCAAACAGCAAAAACAGGTTTTGTGCCTTTAATATTACTTAAAGTGTTTTATTTTTTTATTTTTTCTAGGCTTTAAGATGGCTGAGAAGACCTACAACACGTCTACTAGATGAGGGACCTCAAACTCTACAAATGCTGAAGCCAAAGAACCGAATCAGTTAAACCCTGAACTAACAGAAGACAAAGCAAATGCGCCTCCTTACTTCATCTTGTACGACACAGATCTGTTTGTCTGGAAACAAGTTAGGTTTTGAGCCTAACTTGAGATGCCCATACAAAGGCCTCCGTACAGGCTGGAGCCCAGCTGTGTAAACTGAAGCCACCAGAAAACTGCATTTCACGTATGTAGGATGTGCTTCTGATTGGACTGAAGGTCTTACTCCTCTGCCACTTTTCAGTAACATTGAAAGTTAGTTGGTGTCAGTGTGCACAGTGAAACATGGTGGCTAAAAATGGTGTTTGAATGTGGCATCCTGGTGCAGGGAGTGCCTAAAGAGGTGAGGCTCTCAGAGGAAATAGTAACAACTGAACGATAGCCTGTGGCAAATCATGGATGCCAAGCTAAAAGAGGATCTGTTCCGAAGGTATGTGACTGCTTTGGAAAAGCGTCTGGAGGAAGGTGGAGGAAGTACTGCAACCGGAGTAACACTAAATGGAGACAAAGGCAGAAACAAAGACAGTGAGGCCCTACTGTCCACAGCCACGGCTCTGCTTGGAGCCTACCAGCCAGATCCTGGTCAGCGATTTCGCATGGTGCGATTCTACGAGGTAGTAGAGAATTCACTCCGCTGCCAGAGAGGATGTAATCTGAAGAGCCTGGAGAGAGCGTTCAACACACTGGAAACAATTTGTACCAACTTGTTGCTTTTCCCTTGGAAGAAAGAATTCAAATGTATAAAGGTGAGTTTCTTGTAATTTTTATTTTCATTTTGTTTTTATTGAGGCGTTCAGAATCTCAAGTTCAGAGCCAATATCTGTTAAATGTTACACTGGCTGCAAAAAACAGACATCAGTTTTCAGTATTATTACTGATTACAAGACTTTGCTGATAGTAGCTAGTGTATTTCACAATGATGTAGTTTACTTTAATAGATAATTTTGTTTTTTAGTTGCCAACCTACACCAGATTATGATTGTTACACTTAAATGAAGTGTGGGCAGAACACCAGGCTGCGCTTGGATTTTGTTTTCTAACTAGTCACAAGTACAGTTCTTACAGGCATTAGTTTACAATAAGATTTTTTCAGCACGTACTGTCTTAATATTTAGAATATTGTCTGTTTTTGGTTTCCACCCAATATATTCTGTACTGCTAGTGATGGAATGCTATTGGCTAAAAACAATGAGAATTTAGCGTTATTGTTGAACAGAAACTAAAATCAAAAATTTCATGAAGAGTTCTGTTGAATTGATTTTTTTTTGTTTCACAGAACTCCCAAAATGTTTCCAAGTACTTTGTTCAAGTTTTTTTCTAAATTAAAAATTAAAAAAAAAATTCTAAATAAATGTGAAATTCAAAACATTTTAGTTTCAAATTGTTATTCTCTTAATTTATATGTTAAAGAGTAATGAAATTATTTTTTTTCTTGTCTCTTTTAGACCTTCACTGGCCCCTACGTGTACCATCTGCAGTCTGCCATTCTTGATGCTGAGCTCCAAACGCTAATGCTTACCATTGGATATTCTCGTGACCACGATTCACAGTTTACTTTGCAGGAGCACCCAGGGGACACAAATTATCTCCGGCAGCTAGCATTTGAGCTGTTTTTGGCCCAGGCAGAGTGTCGTCTTCTGGGAGAGGTAGTAGCTCTTGCCCGGGGTTCAGCCTCAGAGCTGGAAGCTTTGGAGCTCCGCAGAGGTTGTAGAGATGATGCAGCTGGCTGTGCGGAGGCACTCCGCAGACGTGACAGCCTTGGGGCTGATATGGCTCGACTGTCTGTGCGACCGCTGGATATAGAAAGGCCTCATGCCCATCAACTGAGGCGGGGTAGTCGACCCTCCAAGTCTGTGGATGTTACAGATGGGGCTGGTCACTGGCACGCAGCTGTTAACAAGCCTGTTTTGAAGGCGTCGTTGAGTCTAAGGAAGGAGCCTCTGTTTGTGGATGCTCAGGAGGATATGAAGGATGAGATCATCAGACCCAGCACCTCAGCTTCTTTTTTCTCTGTTGCAGCGCCACCTTCTTATAGCCCCGTTGCAGACTTTTTCCCAATTCAGTCACCTACTCCTGCCGACCCCTACACGTCCTACCATCTGTCCTCTTTAGATGAGATCGACTTGTACACAGAGAAGGGAGGTGCAGGGACAGGAGGAAGGCAAACTCCATCTCGACCTCCATCTAGAGAGCCTCGAGATGTCAGAGATGGCTGGCTGCTTAAGTCTCACTGTAGTGTCAAGTGTCAAGGTTGTGGACTGGCGTGCTCAACAATGACAGCCTGCCAGAGGTGTGACATGATTCTTTGTCCTGCCTGCCACGACGTGGACCCTTCTCCCTGCTGTGGCCTACAGGAGTACCACTCCAAATCTCCGCGACCCCTTGATGGATACATTCCCATCAAGGAAAAGCTCTCTGTCTACTCCAATGCTCATACTCACTCCCATCTTCATCCGCATCCCTTAACATTAACCCATTCCCATCCTCATTCTCATCCTCACCCTCAAATGTTGGAAAAACCCCTAGTCTCCACCAAGCTCTTTCCAAGTAAGTCTGCTGCCTTGACGACGCCAAAAGGGGGCAGCAGTGAGCGAATCAGCATGGGGGGATCACGGTGTGGATTTTGCAACAAGCCGGGTGCATCACACACCTGTGTGAACTGCTCAAAAGTATCATGTGACTCATGTATGGGCTTGTATGCAAAAGATATGTGCACCCGTAAGAATCCTCAGCACAACTTTGTGCCCAACCATCAGCTCAACTTTAAATCTGGCACCATATCTCACTTAGTGTACCGATGAATTGGGCTGGCAGTTCATTCTTTTAACATGCAGTGTAGTCTTGCACTATTCACCTGTCTTCATGTTTAAATATTTCATTTTGTGTTTTCTGTTTTATCTTTTGGTCTTTTTATTTTCCACTTGTACATTTCCTTTCGTACTCTCAGTGGGGCCATGCAATGCACATGCCACAGAGATCCATATCATCTACCTATCTCTCTGCCTTGTACAACTTCAGGCCTTTTATCTATTATTTTGTTTTATCTTGCATCCTGCTCTTGAGTAGTCGTGTGATGTTGTAGCGCTTTCCAGTGTTCTCAAGTTTTTACACTCCTCAATCGGGAAACTGGAGAAAAGTTAAATTTTATTTTGAATGAAATCAGTTCAAAAGACCATAATATACATTGCCTAACCTTTCAGCTAACAAATCTAATATATGAATATTATATATACAGTATATAAATATAAATGTGTGAGAGAGAGCGAGTGTGTGTGTATGAATGGAAAAGACTTCTGAGCTTGCGTTGTGTTTAAAAGTATCTTAAAACTTGAAAAAATGTAGGGAAAACTAAAACTTACACTGGAAGACAATAGTATATATTTTTACTCTCTGGAACAATATGAGACTGTTAAACAGGCTCGAGATCTGGAGGTGGGATTTATTTAGATTATTTATTCATGTATGTGAGTGTAGGGTAGAAGATTTCTCAAAGGGACAAACTGTGGTCAGAGGCCATGTGTTCTCTTTAAAAGATTATGCCATGTAAATGAACTCTGACAGGTTGGTGATTATAAGGCTGAGATTTAAAAGCTGCTGTTGAATAAATTTGACAATGATTCTTTGAGATAGTTGTCAGTTCCACAGCTCCCCTTTCATTGCACTCCTCAACGATCTCCCCTTCCCAGGTTAGTGGGTCTCAGTCAGTCTCAGGTGGGATCACAGGAACTTTTCATCTGGGCCACAAATCAAGGGGCTGCATAAATGCATGGGCTCATTGATGGTTTTAGGTTGTATGAAAGTTTATACTCTACTATGGTTTCTGTCTACCTCAAATACCATCAGCTTAAACACCCAGTTTGACGTTGCGGTTTCAAACTAGCCTCAAAAATCAGAAGGAAAAAAAGAAAACACCATTTACTGAACTTATGTGATTTGCAACTTGTGTGTTAGCTTAGTAGAACCATGTCATCTTCCAATCAGCTGAGTCGGATATCTTTAGAGGTTTATTGTGTAAATGTGGTTCTGCCACCTGAACAATTTAGAAAATGTTCTCCGTCTGGTTACGTTCTGTGCGTACAGTGAGCTGACAGAAACTGGAACATCTGTGAATTTTGGTAAACTTTAGAGTGACCTTGATACAAGTAGCTTGTGAAGCTGAAATTATTTATTTTTTGTTGTCAATTAAGCCTCTTTGTGACACTGAATTGTGTTGCAGTTCCAAGTGTTATTTTCGTTTTTTTTCCATTGACCAAAACGCATTGTGTTATTATGATTCATTGCGTTACAAAGGTGGAGCTAAAGAGCTGAAACCTTTTAAAAGTATATTTAGCATTTGAGCTTTGCAAAGAAAGTGGATATTACACTATTTTTCATTAAGATTTCATCTGCATGCAATGCACTGATATTGTAGCTTTTGTATRATTTGAGTTCTGAGAATCTTTCTGCTCCTTACAGTAATATATTTTTTAAACACTAAAAGCTCTACTGACGCTTGTTGGATATACAGTATATAAACTATATACTGTATGTATATATAATACTCGACTTATGTTTTGTTTATACTTCCATTCTTCATGTGTGTAGGGAAACATGCATTTTATATTGAAGTTTATAGCAAGGGCTAATTTTAAATCACATTTCATTGAAAACTAAGTCTGATTGCAGACTGTTTGGGCTCCTGGAGCCTTTATCTTCTGTCAGAGCTAACCTTAAAAATGCCTTAAGCTTGTTTAGCTCTGTCATTGGGAATTATTTAGAGAATATTTTAGATTTTCAGCGTCATTTACCCTGTTTGTGTCTTATCAACCCGTAAATCTTAACATTTTTTCAATACTCCGGTGATGTTTTAAATAAGTAAAATTCAAAGTTCTGAAGGGACTCATTTTCTTTCTTTCAGCAAAGCACACCTAAAATGTTTTAACCAAATAATGCAGTCATATGTTAAATACTTGTACATCAGTTTATGCCCTTGATTTAGTTGTGAAATGAATTTCTAGTTAGAGAAATCAACTGAACTGTCCTTTGATCCAAGATGAAGTGTCTGACATCCTACCACTTCTCCTCAACAAACCTAACAATTTGTGTTTTGTGTCTTAATCATGTTAAAACTCTAAAAAGGGACCGTTTGATACAAATTTGACATAGTTTTAGGGTTTGTTGGCAGCTGTCAGCATTGGCTAACTTGTGTAAAGTCTTCAGTGACCCTAGGGGAAATGTGCAATTTTTTCCACGTAACAAAGCCTTTCTAAATACTTAGATTAAATATCATACTGTTTCAGCTGCTCTGTTTGCAAATCATACCAGCAACAAAGAGGACTTTCAGAAGTATTGAGCCATGTTTCATGAGTGATTATATTGCCAAATGAAGAACAACTGTCTCTGGAGTAAAATAATAAAATGGCTTGCCTGGATGTAAAGTTGATGTAACATAAATCTGTGATTTTTGCTAAAGTTTAGCCTTGTCTGTATATGTTGGCCTTGTTAATGAGCCTAGAAAGAAAATCATCAGCGTAGATGTATGTTTACACACCGTGGGATGTGGATTTGACTTTAAAAAGTTGATAACTTGTGTTGGTCATTACAAAGGGCTAAACAGTCTCGAAGGCTGCGATTAAGTTTGTAGGCACTGTTTGAGCAAGTTAGTGGGAGACGAACCCTGACTTGTTAATATCTAATGTGAAGCTCACGTTGTGTTCACCAGTTGTTATAAATTAACAGACGTTGGCAAATCAAAAGTAATGCATCAAAAATATGAAGCCAGTAGTACASGATTGGCTTAACCAGCACCAGAAACAAGTCATTGTAGAAGTCAGTCCTCTTACTTTTGATGTGGTTCTCTAACTGTTCTGACCAGTGATGGTGTACTTAGGAAGCCTCGTTACCATTTCCTGTTTCTGTAAYTGTTTCCCTGGCATGTACAAGGCCCACACCCATATTCCTTTACCCCCACCTACCTTGRCACCGAGGATCATTGCACAAATGTGTAAGTGACGGGGAACAGAACGTAGACGTTATGATGGGGAGTAAATGGGGGTGGAAATGGGAAAATAGCCAAAATTGTTAATTGGTGAATATTATATAAACAAGCATACAAATCTCTCTCTATATATAT